AAGTTAGTGATGTGGTATAATGTTTACTTTGGGATCCTTCAGGAGGAAAGGAGCTGTATCAGTGTAACAGAGTACAATAATATTAACTCCAGTTAACCCAGTTCTGTTCTTGAAGAAACAGAAATCTGAAATTCATATGTATCCTGAATTTGTGGTTTGGAAAATACTAGACAGTCAAGATGTGTGTGTGTGTGACCTACAGAAATACTTCATCTCCCCACTAATTTACTCACACATGTAAACTTCATTTTTCACTCAGCTGCCTCTGATTATTTCCTATTCCTCCCTCTTTTTCCTCCTCTTGCTTGTTTTGAAAATGCTGGTCAACACATGTTAAGCCAGTCTCCAAAACCAACAAAAGGAAGTTCAGGAGAGGCAAAAAGAGAAACATCTGAATAACACTGCCAATTTTAAAATGAAGATAAGTTATACAGGACCTTTTATTGAACCAACAAATATTTTATAGTATTCACCATTTGGGCCAGCAGTTCTTTTCCCCTCCCTTTTGAGCAAGAACAGAAGGTGTATAATTCATAAGAAATCTGTGCATGTTTAAGTAGCTTCAAGAAGTACTGCAGTCATGTGGGTCTGACCTACCGTGTCTTGATTTCCATGTCCTTTTGTTCTGCTACATGATATTCTGTACTCGTTCTCTCCGTCTTGTTCTCTCATTCACACATTCTTTCTCCTGTTGGTTTCAAGCCATATTTGCTTTGTCTACATTAACTGAGAGCAAAAAGCAGGGTTTTAAGCCAGCTACTGTGGTTCTGTTTAGACTGTATTACCACTGAGTGGGGGAGAAATGTAAATGAGAAATGGGTCCTGCATGAGGTGTCAGCCGTTGCTTTGCTTTCCTTGCAGGGACTCCAGGATAAGTCAGTTCGTCATCAGAGACATTTTGTGTTTTTAGATCAAAATTCTTAGATCAGAATGCTGAAAAGTAGCTGTAATCAGCATTATTTAGAAAGTCCCTGAAGTCCTTCATGTACATAGAAGTTGCAGCTCTGGAACATTCTGAAATTTCTGAACATACTGCAAGAACCACACAGACGGCGGGACTCGGTATATTGAGAGCTGCAGTAGATGTATGCGTATTTGGAAGATGTATATTTTTCTGCAAACTCTTCTATATTATCATTTTGACAAAAATGTTAACTGTAATGGCAATGTACTAGAGGAAAGTGATATTAGTGTCCAGCCTGTAGGTGGTTTGTCTACTTCTCTTCCATACTCTAGGATTTCTTTTTTGGGGGTAGATAGTTTACCTGATAGCAGAAGAATAAAAGAAAAGAATTAAATATAGGAGAAACTCTGTAAAAGTCTGCTCATAAATGTTTGAAATGAATGGAGTATTGCCTTCTCATGTTGTCTTTGGACTTCTGTGACTCATTTCCATCTCTGTTAAAATGGGACTACTGGTTACCTTGCAAGAGAGCTGTCAGGATCAACCAGTGAATATTTATGAAGAAATTTCATGGTGAAAAATAAAAAGTGCTACATATATTATTAATAATTATGTGAGTCTTGAAAAATACCATACTGTATCACAAAGCTGGTATTGTCCAGTGACTACACTCTTGGCACTGCATGCTACAGTAAGCTGTATACTGAAAACTCATACTAATGGAAAGGTATACAGGATTCCATCAGTAAGTGATTTATAGTTACTTCCTATTATAAACAAGAGGGAACAAATATCCAACCTAGCTGGTTTCTTTGGGCGGATGGTGAGAGACATTCCTGGCCAGGCAAAAGCTGATTCTCTGGATGTTTGCAATTGGGAGCAGAATGAAGCACGAGAAGGGAAGGCTTACATTACAATCTTTAGTTATAAATAATTATGTTTGCATTTTCAGAGTGCTTAAAAATTTCCAGTTGTAGAGCAAGTGACAATCTTCATAAGGGCTTCCTGAACTTGTGACCAAAAGTTGTTCCTGATATTTTATATCAAAAAGACTCAAATAGAATCTCAATATATTCTGAAAATTTACCTACATCCTTCTTCCAGTAAGTGCATTACTATCTGAGACATCACCAATCCCCTTCATCACTAATAGATTTGGTTCTGAATTAATAAATATGCTATTGAACACTACTGCTGTTGTTTGTTTAGGGAAGGTATTTATTCTGGGCAGTGTTATACAGTTGATAAAGCTGAGTATAAGCCCTAGTATATAAAAGTCTTGGGGACACTGCCTTTCTCTAGAGTCTCATTTCACACTGGTGCCAAACTAAGCATGACATGTACACCAGAGAAGAGCCTGGGATTTCTATGCTGGTCTATAGAGGCTGAAAATTGGGTGACACCCTGTCTCGACTGGAGTAGAGAGAGGACCACAGCTCTTCAGGAGAGACCAAAGGTGACTGCCCCTGATGTTCATGTAGTGTAAAGGTGACCTCCAAGTAAAGCTGGGAAAGGGTAGCTACCGTGCATCCTTGGACCTTGTTGAAGGGGGTACCTCTCATACGGTCTGAGAGGGACCGTGTGTAAAGTGATGAGTTTGCTTTCTGCACTCGTTCTGGGATGAATCCTCAGCTGGCGATGGTCAGTGGGATTCAGTATGGTGTATCCTTTTTCCATGCCTTCATCTGCCATTTCCAGTTATATTACACAGGCCTGATGCCATTTCTCTCATTGTCTGAGAGAAGACATTTAGGAAGACATTGTGCAATGGTCAAGAAACCTATCCCTTTCTGTACTGAGAATGTTGTTCTTGGGCTATGTTCATGCAACATGCTGTTTTACAGTTAAAATATATTGTGTAATTGTTGGGCAGCTTTGTCAAACTTCAGAGATCGCCGTGGAAGAGGGCTGCCCTGTCTGTTTTTGCAGCAGCACATAGGGAGGTAGGATAGATAGGTGGGCTTGAACCACTTCTTACAGGACATTTTTCTTGTTTGTGAATGAATGGACAGCTAGCTGGATAAATGCATGACTTTTAGATGGCAGGCCAATGGCAAGTGAGGTGAACCTTGCCTCTAGTTCTCCTTTTGGTGTTGGATCAAGCTGACTTGACCTGCAAGATGTCAAGGAAGGCATGCTTATGCCCTCTTAAAAGCAAAGGGCCTGGAGACTCACCTTACTTGCAAAACTGGGCTGTTTGTCTCTCCTGAGGAGGTTATACCTATCCAAAAATGGTAAAAATACTTATTTACTTCCCTCTGGTCTGTGAAACATTAAATTCAAACAGCTGAGAGCTGCTTAGGTGCTATGGCAGCGCAAAGTAAGATATGCTGTAACAGATTTGGCGTAGCAGAGAAGCATTTTTGGCAAGAAAAAGCAGGCCTGTGCATTGAAATGATGGATTTTCAGACTTCATTGTACTAACATGCTTACATGCTTAAACACCACTTATTAGCAAGAGCTTTGCAAATTATCAATAATGGTTTTACTGTAGCTCACTTTCAAGTTTCTTTGAAATAGAATACTTGTTTAAAAAGCATAAAATTTGAAATAAAAAATGTGTTTTCTTTTTAATTCAGGAAGAACCTCCAGCAAAATTAAAACTGTGTGACTCTGCACTCCTGAATTTTACTTTGTAGCTCTGCAACTGCTTTTCTATGCCCTGGGCAAGCCACTTTCCTTTTGAGCTGACTAAACACCACTAAAAAATATTTGCAAATACTCCTTCAAATAAACGCTTGAATTGGAATGTGTGTCACCATTCACACCTACTTTCCTCAGAAGTTTATACAAGCAATTTTTTTGTTCCTAGGAAATATTTTCCAACAGCAAAAGAAACTGACAGATGCATGAGAGATGTGTATTTATATCCAGGTTTGCTCTGGCAGTGACATGCTCTATTACTCGCCATTTCCATTTCTATACCTACTGACCTATTAAATCCTAAACCTCCTCTTTGAAATTGTCACTGTTGAAAAATAAATGAAGCAAGACTAAATAACAATGTGTAGCCAAGCACAGCATGAAGTGTATCTCTCCTGATCAAATGTTGGTTTCCATTTGGGAGTCCAGTCTCATGAAAAGATGCATGGCTTTTCTAGTTTATGCTGAATGTAGGGTCTTTTTATGTCTTCGGTGCTGTGAGTGTCCATGCTGTAGCTGCTTGAGTTTTTTGTTTGTTTGACTCATTCTTTATAGGCATTGCCGTTAGGCATCAGCATGTAATTCCTCTACAATGCATGTCTCTGTCAGGATAGCAGGAGCATTGAATAAAGCTCATACATTTCTGCCTGGTAAATATTTCTGGCTTCTCTGCGATGTGAGGGCTTACATGAATGAACAAATGTGACTCTTGAAGGGAAAGTGTAGATTAGGCCCGTGATGCAATTTAATCTTGGAAGGCTGTTAACCACGTGTGCTTGTTACTTTAGAAATATGTATCCTTCTCAGCTTGCGCTTGTGAACAAGCTGCAGCCTGGGCAAGGGACACATTAAAAACCACACACCCAATGGCTGCATATGGGCAAACGTTCTATTTTTAGTGCATACAAGAGTGCATTCACTGAAGGGCAATAAATCTGATTTTTATTTTTAGTTTTTATAATTCCTTATGTCCTTGGGATTTATGTATTGAACAGTCAGCTCCACTGCCCTGCAAAATGTAGATAAAGCTCCGAGACCAGCTTTATTCTCACTATTAATGAGATAACCAAAATACCTTTTTTCCAGACCAGCCTGATTCTCCTGACAGGATTCTGCAGTGCTGATGTCAAGTTGTGCCTCACGAATTCCTGTTCTTGTAATATCCTATCACAAGAATCTCCTTCCCACAATTGAAATTTCCCCACGAATTTCCCCACAAGGATTTTCTGAACGTGTTCTCTGCTCAAAGCACACTGTTGATTTCTCCACACAAAGATGGTTGAGTGAATCCGACCCTTCATGGGCGTCTAAACAAGGATTTGATTTAAAAATCTACTCTCAAGTTTGGAATTAACCTTGGGTTATTTTTCCATATGCCAGTTCCATGAATTTGCCTGTTTCAAAAACTATTAAAAGAAAATAGGCATTTAAAATGTTTTCTTTCTGTTTTCAGAAACTCTTGAGAATGGACCAAATAAGTGTGAAAGGTGAGTAAGGGGCTTTACAGCTTTTCAAAATTTTTATTATTCCTGTTTATCCTGACATCACATAGCTACTGTAGCTATGCAAGCTGTACATGTAAATATTTGTTACTGCTTGAATCTAGTGCAGCTAACAGAAAAGGAACCAGCAAAGATGAAACATACTGGAAGGAGATCAACGCAGCTATGGCCCTAACGAACCTTGCCCAAGGAAAGGATAAACTGCAAGGGACTACCAGCTGCATCATTCAAAAATCATCACATATATCAGAAGTAAAGACTGTTAAAGTGCCATTAGTTCAGCAGTTTTAAGAGATGGGTCCTTTTTCTTCTTCCCATCAAATGGACATTTTCCTCACAGGATTGGTTTTCAGTAAAATCAGATTCACAGATATGAGGCAAATGTGGAAAATAGGCCCCTTTTTACAGTACGGTCAGTTTAAAAAAAAAAAACATTCCTTCAGACTGAGAGGTTTTCATTGTGTTAAATGAAATGTTCAATTGCTTCTATAAAAGGCATGTAAATTATAAAAACCTGTTTTTATCAAAACATTAACTTATTTTATGTTAATCAAAGTGCGCATAAGATGTTTGCATTGCTATTACAGTAAGTGCCTTGCTTTCAAGAAATAAGCTATAACGTGGGCATAGTACAACACTATTATGCCTCAAAATGATAATGCCATAATGCTTAACCTTTGTATATTATTCCAAGTGGGCTAAAGCAGCCTAGGGCTAAACACATTACTGCTGGAGGCCCTGGAGAATTGTGCTTATTTGACTTGTACAAATTGAGTCTTAATGGAATTGTTACATCAGTCTCCCTCTCTTTTTTTAACCAGTGTTATAAAAATTGTACAGTATGTTTCGTCAAAGTGACAATGAGGTTGTTATGCATGTTTCTCACCTGTATAGGCAGTTTATTAAAATACCAAAATCATTCCTTTGAAAAGTGCAATACTCTAGAACACAAAAATTTAGGAAATATGTTGACTGGTCAGATTATTTTGAATTTATACATATGCTCCCAGACATGTTGCCCATTATAGATTTATAGTTGAGAAGGTTCGAGCCAGACTGTCTGTAAATTCAAGCTGAATTTCTATCCTTTCAAGGTTTTGCTAGTGACTTATTGACGTTTTGATGTAAGTAAACAAAACTGATTTCTAAGTCCATAGAGCAGTTCCTTATTTGCAATGAACCTCAAAATGTTTCCGTGATACAAATTTTACTTTAATGTGTTTTAAATGGTTTTATTTTGTACCTAGTCCATAACTGGGGACAGTTGATTGATAAATCACATTTCAATAAGAAAAAAAAAGCTATAATAAAATATCAAAGCCCAAACTAGAAACAAATGGAATATGAAACACTGAAAAAACTCAGCATCCACTTTAGGAAAGTTTTAGGTAGATACTAAGCCATATATTAAATGTCATGTCTCTAAACTTGACGGCTATTGAGTGTAATAACTAACTCAAAACAAGGTTTGTTTTTTAAGAGGACTTTTTTTTTCATGTAAAAGTTATTCTTAAGAAGTCATATAACAATATTTTAATGAGGTTTACAGTGCTTGAATAATCAGTGGCAAAGCCAGATATGTCTTATAGTGAATCAGTTTCGGAAAACTGGAAAAGAGCTAATTGTTGCTAGGATTTAGATGTTTTCCTGTGGGTATCCTGTCAGGTTTTTTCCTATTTATCCCTCTCCTCTTTTTCTCTTTGGTGAGCCATCAATGAACAAAATATGACTTTAGTCCTGTTCCCATTGAATTTAATGGCCACGCTATCGCTTCAATGGAAGCAGGATTGTGCTAATGATGCAACTAACTTGCAAATATAGGCTGTTTCAGTTGCACTAAAACAGTCAAGATACATTGCAAATATCAGCCTTGGTGTGACTTCTTAGGAAACTCCTTGATGTAACATAACATGGTTTTGGGTTTATTTAGTGTACGATGAAAATGATTTGATATGAAAATATTTTGTACATATATATTTTTACTTTGTTTTCTAAATTGCTGATTTGCATTGACTTAAAGTGCCAAGCAAGAAATGTATGTCATGACTGTATGAACAGTTGAAGTATATGTTTTACTGACTTGCATCATTATGTGTCTAGGATTCCATGACAATAATTTTTGATACTTTACTGGATTTTGACATAATAATGTGAGTTTATAACTAATAGCAAAGAGTTAATGCTTCACTTTTGTTCATACTATTATAAGTTATTCTGGTATTAAATATTTTGTGACAATAAATTGATGGTTTTGTCAAATTTTTCTGTTAGCTATATTCACAGTGTTTTTTGTCTGCGTAAATGGCAACAATATTTGTCATGTGAAAAAGATACTTTTGGTGACTTCTCTGGAGTAAAATTGGAGAAGACAAGCCATTGTTTAAACAACTTGTTCATGGTTATTTTTTAAATGATCAAAGCACAAAGAATAATCTGTAACACACATCAAGTAGATTTAAAATTTAAGAAATATGTGGCATAATTTCTTGTTACCGTTTCCTTTAATTTATTATTTTTTCTACTGCTGCTTTAGAGTTTTCCAAAACACAAATTCTAATGAATTATGTGTGTTTTTTTTTTAAATAACAAAAATCATGATCATTGCTGAGCCAACAGCTAATGAAGACTCAATAATTATTTATGATATAGGAAAACCAAACATTATTACTATTGCTCTTCTTTGTTTCAACATATGTAACCATTTTAGTAAAATAAATAACTGCAAACAACATTCTTCTGGTTTGAATTAAATATTCATTTATCTATCATTTGCATTTCTGGTTTCCTGAGGTATTCTGGAATTTTCTGCAGTCAGGTACAAGTACATGATAAGAAAACAGGATTGCTACTCTTTTGACTAATACTGTATTACTAATAATACAAGATTAATATTGAATACTGTAATACCAAATACTAAAGTTCTGTGAAGCAATTTAGCACATTCCCATTAAAAAGTGTCTGTTGAGCAAGTTTAAGCTAATGACTGCTAGTTATAATGACTGCTAGTCTGCTAGCTATAATAATACGGTGGTTTTATCTCCTCCAGGTTGGCGGCATATATCAGGAAACATAGGTACTTGCTATTCAGAGTCATTGGAAAACATGCATGTTCTTGGAAAGACATCAGTCATTTAGGAGTCTTTTCTGTTTACAGGCTCCCTTTGGCCACATCATTGCTTACAATATTCAGGACAACAGTTTCATCTTCCAGCATCCAGGGAACTCTTCTACCTACCCTCTTTGCCTTAGTGAGGGACCACTGAGAGACCACTCAGAGCCCCAGTCAGGGCTGGCGGGGTGACCTGCCGGTGGTGTCCACCGTACCCTACCAGCCACAGGAGTGCTGCCAAGCAATGGCGGCTCCAAACGGCCCAGGCTCAAGGCCTCCTTTGGGAATACTTCCAGAGGGTATCCAGTTCACACTGATGGCCTCCATTTCTCACACTTTTGAGGCGCCCTGGACTATGTTTGCTTGTGCCACCTCCAAGCACCAGACAAGACAACTGCATGTGGATGGAGTCCTTTGTGTGGGATGAAAGATAAAAGTCTGCCTGGCTGGCCACCCTGTCAAAGCTGCAACATGAGGGTGCAGCACTGACACCTTCATTTGAACATGAAGACCTCTCTCTTCCTTCTCCTGTAAGTCAGGCCTACATGGGCTGTGCATGGATATCAAATTTTGCAGGTCTTTTATTCTCAAGAGAGCAATGAGGACCTCAGAGCAGGGTGCCTGCACTGTCAGGAGAGTGAAGCAGTTAGTTAGTCAAGCTTGCCTCTGCTGCGTGGGATGAGTGCTGCTCTAGATGCCCATTTGCTATGTGGCAAATGTAAGGTCACAGCTGTCTTTCAGCATGGTCAGCATGGTAGACTTTCAAACAAAGATACCTTTTTTTTTTTCTGTGAAATCTCAGGTTCTGAAATGAAGTCTTCAGCTTATTTTGCCCTTCCATTCAATCTTTATGATACATGAGCACACTTTCTTAAACCATGGCCTATTTTTTGCAGGAAAAAAGGGAGCATGGACTTCACATGAACTGTGGACACCAGACCCTCCAGGTATATGGTATTATTCAGTACTCTGGAAGCAGCTCTGAAGTCTGGTGGGAAGCAATGCAATGGTCACAGTAATAACTTTAAGCATGGCAGATCCCAATTTTAGCCCTGTTTTACCACAAACAACCTGCGAGACTCTGAGAATGAAGAATCTCAAAGAGATCTAAGTTCCTAACCTAACAAATTCAAGCATTTTTGAATGTCTGAGGACTTAGGCATGTTTCCATGGCCAAGTGCACACAGTTGCATGCCTGGTGGGAGCCAGCTGGACAGAAACCTGTTCCAGTTCGGAAACTGAGTAACCTCCTTTGTATGGCCCCAGTTCTGATCTGCTACACCAAGGTCCTCAGCAGAACATGGATCAGCCTCAACCTGGTGTGAATATGCCTGTGCAGTTATTGGAACACTGCTTGTTCTGTGCCTGTGCTTGCCCACAGCAATGTTCCATTTGGATCCATGCTTTGGTTCATCAGTGCTAAGAGGATAAAAATATTGCCTTGTATCACTGAGCTGCTGTGTGTAGAAGGGCACTGAAGACTGAAAGGAGCTTTAGGGAAAATACATACCTAGAATAGAAAGCTAGGGAAGGAAAATGAGATAAAGCACAGCCCAAAGGGCTGAATTACCTCAGAGCTATTTTGACATACTGCTAGAGAGACAATAGAAATCTGACCTGGATGCAAGCTCAGGCTGCAAGAGCTGGTTTGCCAGCATTTGCCTATGCTCAGTCCATGTTAGCATCAGCGGCGGAATTGAGACCCAGACCTGTAATTTCCACAGTGCTGGTTTGTTGAGGCAGTGTTTAGGTTTGGGCCCCATCTTGAATCTCCTCTTGTTTAACAGGGAGGGAGGTGGTTGGCTAAAATACAAGTACGTTGTGAAAAAAAAAAAAAAAGAAAAGAAAAAAAGAAAAAAAGAAAAAGAAGTGGAAAAGCAGTATGAATGCCTAATGCAACAGAAAAAAAAATCCCAAACCTCCTTAATGTTGCTGTTATGTCAGCTTGGGTTATTGGCAGTGGAAGTGGTTATTGGCAGCGGAAGTTAGACCTGGCTCGAGGCTAATATAACTCGCGCACCTGACTTTTAAAAAGGAGCTAAGATCTGGTTTCTTTATGGATGGGCTTTTTTCATTTATGCTCTTGGTCCCTTCTTCAGATTTCCTTACTTTCCTTTCAGCCTGTTTTGGACATGCTTCTCCTCTATCTTTCTTCCTGCCTGAAAAGTCTCCTATTACATGCAGATAGCAATGAGATCCTTCATGCCAAAGCTCATTCTTCTGCCTAACTTTGCAGTTTGTAAAACCACATAGGTGAAGGATATATGATCTAGCAAGCTAGTGTTCAGTGACAAAGTCTGATATCTCCCT